CCAGCAGGGATGGTCGCTCCCGCGCTGGCGAGCGATTGTATAACAGCTCTGACAGGACCATGCGGACCATAGACTGTTCCCCCTCAGCACCTCCAGCTTCTTTGACTTCAGCTGCCAGGCTCGAGCGCGCTACGCGCCTGAGCTTCTTTGAACCCCAATCAAGCACGGTGAACTTCGACTTCTCGCCCTCGAGGGCACGCGTTGTAGCTATCGCCGTCAAGCGTCCGCCCTGTGAACGTCCGCCCGGTCGACTGGCCCAGGTGGCGTCGCGCCAGGTGAACGCTGCCAAGTTGTTCAGGTCGTGTCTCTAGATCTGGAGGCCCATGTGCTGGTGTTGCTCGATGATATTCACAATGTTGTTGGCCGCATTGAACAGGTTGCGCGTGTCCTTCCTGGGATATTGGACTGGAGCTCGGCCACCCACGACAACAGGAATGGCATGGCATTGACCCCGAGCCAGTAGACTTCGCCACGGAACGCTCAAATGAGGGTCTGGTCGCTGTCGTGAAGGGTGTCCGTCGAACGATGACGTCCTCCATCAGCTGGCTGCGCTTCTCGAATTTTGTCGGCATAGGTCCGCTGGTGAAGGGGGGGCCCTTGCTCGTTCTCCTCGATGATGACTCCGCACTGTTCGAGGCTCCTGACGTTGTTGTCGCTCATATCTTCCCAGGTGCCCCACTTGTAGAGCTGGCGGATCTACTCGACAGTGTCGGTCCACAGGCTGCGTCCGCTGTCACCAGCAAGGATGAAGTCGTCAACGCGGGCCATGGCCATTCCAACGAGCCGCAACGTCTTCGGACAGCGCACTTGCCACAGGCATGGTTCCAACACGCAGGCCTGGGGCCCCAGCTTAGCGAAGTCGTCCTTGACGGTTACCCAGTGTCGGGGGGCTTCGCCGATACCATATCCTGGCTTGATGTTTTGGAGGACCTCACCCTCCTTGACCTTAAACGCACGCCGGAGCGCGGCGTCTGGCTCGATGAAGAGATCCTTCTTCAGCTTTTTCGCCTGCAAGAACGCTGAGGTGACGTCCCCCTTGATTAGCTTCCAGTGGTTCGCAGCGGCCACGGTCAACGTGATGTCGCGGGCCCTGCGCGAGGCTGCAAGGCTCGCCGTCGGCCCCATACCGAGGCCCTTCGTCTTTAGCCCAGCAGGACAAGCCGCGCCTTGGCCTTGCCGTCGGCCTTCCGCGTGAACAACCACCGTGCTTGGATCACGTCCGCGACGTCCTTCACTCGGCCTGTTGGTGCTGGTCGTAGTCCTTGGTGCTGCTGCCAATTGCTGACCTCCTTTTCGATCGCCACCTCGAACTCCTTCCGTTCGTCGGCAATCATCTTGGACCAGGTCATCTCCACCTTGCCCTTCCGGCGCTGGTTGGCGAGATAGCAGCGCACCAGGTTCGGAACCGAGCTCGTCTCGATAATCTGCTCGCCATTCTCGTCGCAAAGGTGCTCGAAGTAGACCGTTTGGAGCTCGTCGCTGCCGAGAATGATGTCCAACCTGTCCTGGTACAGGTTCACGAAGAGGTTTTCGTCGTCCTCGGTGCCATTGGCCTTCTGGCTCTTTTCGGGCGGCAGGTAGAAGACGATCTCCGGACCGCGGTGTGTCATGCGGTAGCGAGGCCGCGAGGCCGAGGTCGACGTTCTGGACGAGGAGGATCCACTTGGCCTCGCTGGTGGCATCGAAGAGGCTCGTGGCGCTGGCCCCACGGGGTCGGAAGCGCTTTGATGAGGAGCAGGTGGTTCCACAGCTGCAGCTGGTGCAACAGCTTCTTGAGGTGGTTCGGCATCAGGCTGTAGAGCTGGTTCGGCCTCGGGCTGCGCCAGGCACCTCTGTGACGTTGCCTGGGAGGGGCCTTCTGCTTCAGTGGGCGCGTTGTCCTCCTCCATGGCTATGACCTGCGACGGTTCTTCAGATTCTCCTGGCACAAGATCTCCCGTAGTCCAGGCCGTTGTCCAGGCCGCTGTTGTTCGAGCAGGTCTTCGAAAGGTTCCCATCTTGGCTGTCTCCAAGATCTTGGTCATGGTATTCCCAAGGTTGGCCTTCATGTTCAACTCCGTGATCATATTCTCAGCTTCTGAGGCAGCGCGTAGTTGTTCGGGGGCACATCGGACGAGCGCGTTCCCATGCGAGATCCACACCGCGGATGTCACCCGTGCCCGTCCTTCGACGCGCCGTTTCTCCTGCGCGCGTACACGGGCTGGTCCGCACCATCCTCCCTTCTTCCCAGGTCGGCTCTCACGTCCTTTGCCGTCTCGCCAGAAGTAGACCACGTCGCCAGGGTTACGCAACTGATCAGCCCGATTCCGAGCGTTTTCGGCATGTCGTCGTCGTTCAGCGTACTCGCACTCCAAGTAGCTCTGGCGGGCGACGAGCAGACGTTGCTCCTGAGCCCCACCTGAGTCCTCGTCGATGATCGCGAAGGGGTTGTTGGAGGCTGGCATCCCCGACACGCCCAGGACGTGTTCGAAGGGGGAGTGGTTCCCGACCTTGTCCATGGAGTTGATGGCACTGACTGCCCAGGAGACCAGGTCGTCGACAGAACATTCGGGGTCGCGGGTCGCCATCTTCGCATTGAAACGCGTGACAAGCTGGACCCTCAGCTCGACCTTGCCCATCAGCCAGTGAACTTCGCCAGGCGCGATCCACATCTCGATGCCGCTGTTGGACGTCCACTTCGCCGCGGCCTGCGAGCAGCGGCAGCCTTCCGAATCCATTCTCAGGAGACAAGGCCGGCGGCAATGCGTACACCAAGACTCCCAGATATCAATCGCCTCCTCGGCCGTGCGGTTGCAGCTCTGGTCGCCCTTTTTCCCGTGATACGTCACGCTGGTCAGTTCTGACCCTTCCTCCACGTTGAGAGTCATGAAGCGGGAACTCTGGTCTGGAGCGAGCCGCTCAAGGCCATCAGTAGCTAATGCTTCCAGCGCCCCCGGGATTTCCACGCCCGAGGCCACCCGGAACGTCTTGGGGGGCTCCCCGACGCGGCAACCATGAAATTGAAATTGTAGAGACAACCTGAGGACCTGGGCCGGCGCACCGTAGGCCTTGAGGATCTTGTAGAGCGCCTTGTCGCTTGGATGGCCGAGATTGCGACGTAGCCGAGACAGACGCTGCTCGATCTCGAGCGCCTCCTTCCTCGGAAGGTCGCTGTCGAACCCCGTGCCCGTGAGCGTCGCGTCTGCGTTCTCCATCTCGACGTCTTCAAGATCCGCATGATCGCCCTCTGCCTCCTGCATCGCGTCGTCCTCTTCCGGGATCTGCTCGAGGCTGGCGAAGATCTCCATGCCGCACTTCACGCTGTCGTCCTTCTCCAGGATGTGCTTGGCCCAGGCCTTACAGAGTGCCGGCGGATAGTAGGCCGTCTGCGCTACCACGGGGCCATCTTCGATGGCGCGGTGGAGATGATTGTCAGCCCGCCCTGGTCGCATGGAGCAGCGACGGCCTCGTTTGCCCGCAAACTCTGGATCAGTAGAGCAGACCCGCCAACCCTTCTTCATGAGTAGTCCTGATCGAACATCTCGAAGTCCGCAAGCGCACCCGTGAATGATCGTCTCGTGCATTTCTGATCGCATCTTTCGTAGTGATGGTGACTTCGTCCAGCTTCGGCTGTTCTAGGGTTGTTCCAGGTCGACGTGGCAGTCCAGTATCTTCTCGGCTCCCTCGTAGAGCAAGAGGCAGTTCCGCTGAATCCAGCGAGCCTGGCGGACCTGATTCAGTAGCTGTCTTTTCTGGTCCTCGGTCTTCTGGTTGAGGTTCTGAATCGGACTGTCTGCCGCGCACGGCGGGCGGAGTACCGCGCGTCTCGGCCTAGTCCGTCGCAAGAGATGCACTGCTCGTCGAGGTCCGTTTGCCGTCGCCGCGTCGCAGCCGTTGAAGAGCCCACAGCGAACCGCAAGGCCCCCTAGCGAGAGCACCGCTTGTCCCAGAGTCGACGTCTCCGGGCAGCAGACCTCCATCATATCCGCGCGCTTGGTCTTCGTCAGCTCGAGCATGTCCGTCGCCGCGCTCTGGCATATTTCCTCGTCGACATTCTCCTTCGCCGGAACTTTTGGAGGTCAGCTCTGCCCAGGCACCTCAGCGCGATCTCTTCTTCAGGGCCTCTGGCAGTTCGGAGTCGTCCAGCATCGGGTCTGCTGCGGCCGGGAGAAACCCGCAGGGCCCCTCTGGGTCCGTCTTGGCTAGCTTCGCCCCAAGACGTCTCCACCGCATAGCCGCGACCTGGCTCCTGATGTCCCCATCTGGTGGGCCCGAGGCGTCGTTCACCCTGAGGCACTGGTGGCTCCCCCCTCCTGAACAGCTGCATCCCCGCTCGGCCCGATCGAGTGCCCCGCAGCATGAACGCCTCGATCTCGGCGGGACCAACTGCGCTGGAGTAGGGGGCGGCGGCGCGACGGCCGCGGTTGGGATCTGCATTGGCGGTGGAATACTGGCCACCACAGTCGCCGTCGCTGGCGACAGCGGGGGCCCGCAGACGGGCACCAGTCGTAGGCAGTAGCGACTCTTCCCCCACGCAGCTGCATCCGCGCTCCGTCCCCCCCTTTCGCCACAACACGAACACTTCCCCCCTGGGTCGTGCGTTGAGGCTGGTGTCGCAAGGCCGTTGACGGGAGGTGCCTTAGGGGGGGCTGGTGATGCCGTCGGCGTCGTAAATGCTGGGGTCGGCGTAATCCTGCTGTGGTCGCTGGCACAGCCGTTGCAGAGGCGCGCGTTCGTGGGCGCGCCCACTCTGGCCGCGCAGCAGGTGGCGGCGGCCGCCCCGACGAGGGCGCTGAAGAAGAGCCGGTGCATGACATCAACCGATGAAGGGTGGCAAGGGCTCGGACGTGTAGGATGTGGAGCCGCTGCTGAACGGCAATCCACACAGGTGGGGGGCACAACATTATTGGGCCATCTGTGGCTGAGGTTCCATTCTAGGTTTCTCTTGTTCCCTTCTTGGGTTTTGAGGTACTGCCGGGGTCGTTCTGGGGCTCCATTCTGGGCTTGTCGTAAGAGGTCCTCTACTGCTGGTCCCAAGAGTTCCCGAAGGTCTCGAAGGCTTCCAACTTTCTGAACTGCACGAGGACACCGTTTTTGTCGGCGTCGCTCGGCTCTCGGTCGGCGTCGAAGTCAACCCCGCGCGGCTCGCCGACGACCTCGCCATCGCCCCTGTTCGGCTCGGTGTCGAGAAAACGGTGTTCTCGACAATCGGCTCGCTGACGACGATGTCTCGGTGGCCGACGGAACCTTCTCAAGGAGTTCTCTGGTCTGAGGGTATCTGGAGGCTTCTGGTACATGGTGTTTGGGCCCCCCCGATGATACGGTTGACGATGGAGACGATCTCTCGCTCGCCGCCACCACCAGGGGGCGCTGTCCCTCGCGCGCGGCAAGACAGCCCGTGCAGCCCCGTTGTGCGCGTTGAGTCTCTCGCCTTGGTGGGTCGCCGTCAGCTTGTTCTTGTTCGGGCAGCCCCTCGCCCGGCGTCCGAACTGCCTGCGCAAGGTACACTTCATCTTGGCCATGTCACGGCCCGTCTCGGCGCGCACCTGTCGGCCCGATTGTCCACGTCCGCGCCCCTTGCCGGCTGGGCGGGGGCGGCCTTCCAAGCGGGGCCGCGGCGGGGGTGGCCCCCGCTGGTCCGCCAGCTCGTTCGTGGGCACCACCACCGGGTAGAAACCCCGAGCCACGCGCACCTGTCGCAGTAGATGTCGTGCATCTTTGAAACTCCGTCCACCTTGTCGGAATTGGGCGTACACCTCGTTGTCCCAGTCCTGGTCAGCAGTGTCCTCGTCCTCCTCGCAATCCTCGACGTCTGTGAGATGGACCAGCTGCTCGACCATCTCGTGCAGTTCCTCTGTGTCCCCACCAGTCTCGTCCTCGTCCTCGTTGGCGCCGTTATTGAACATGGCCTTCTCGCGCATCGTCTTGCCGTCTAGCCCGGCCAGGGCCTCTGCCGGGAAGCGCGTCAGAAGGGCCCTGTAGGTCTTCGCAAAATCGTAGTCTCCTCCTGCCGTCGCCGTCACTTCTCCTCGGAGAACTGGAGACAGGCGCGACCTCCGCAGGAACTACCATGTTCTGAAAGGATTTGCGATCACTTCGTGCACGTCCCCATCGATGGTCTGCAACTGGGTCAGCAGCTCGCGCTCTTTCTTCTCGAATCGCGCCGCCCAATCCTGGAAAGTCTTTCCAACGTTCCTCGAGATCTTCAGGAAAGAACTCCTCTGCCAGCAAGCCCGTATCATTCAAGCTCGTATAGTCTAGCTTGTCCAGCACATAGTCGAACACAGTGTCCCAGCCAGTGAGTCGCCCTTTCTCGTCAACCACGTCCACCTGGTCGATCTTGGGGCAGCTCCCCACGGCATTTCGCACGCGTGGCCCCAATGCCCGGACCAGCTGTGGCCCACAGACGTAGCGGTCGGTCCCGCGCGCGCTCTTCACGAATGTGGACACCTCGAAGCGGTAGTTGGACAGCTTGTCGACCTCCCCGTTCCACGTCGGCACCTCCACTCTGGAAGTAGTAGAGGCTGTGCCGCTCGACGCCATGGCGGCGAGACTGGTGGGAGCCCGTGGCGGAAACCACAGGCTCCGTTACCAATCTGAACCCCACGGAGCCTCAGGAGGCTCGTGTCCAAAATGGCGGTAACCTCCAGCTCCTCCAAACTTGATTCCCCGTAGATTGTCCACACACAGTCAACACAATGATGAGAGCAGCCTCTGCTCCCTGATGAATATTTCCTGGCGCGTCCCCTGAGCGCGCCACTGCCTGCGAACTCGCAGGCCCGTCTGAGAAAGGAATCCCGCCCACCCACGCCTGAGCCAGGGTGGCGGCAGCACACGGCAATGAAAACAACAGCAGCGAGCAAGAGATACACCAACGTGCTGAGCTCACTGCTGCACAACATGTGACCCTATCGCATTCAGAGAGGGGGAGGCCAGTTCCGACGCCGTTCAGTGCTCGGAACCCGGGGGGGGGCTCGCTGCTCGGGAGCCGTGGACAAGAAAGGGATGGAAGGGATGCTATTTCCGACGCCATTCAGTGCCCGGGACCCGGGGAGGGGGAGTTCGCTGCTCGGGAGCCGTGGGCAGGGGGAGGGGACGACATGTCCGACGCCGTTCAGTGCTCGGGACCTGGGGGGGTTCGCTGCTCGTGAGCTGTGGACAAGGAAAGAGGGGGGGGACGCCATTTCCGACGCCAGTCTGTGTTCGGGAGCTGGCATAAGGGGTTCGGTCTGTTTGCAGGGGGGGGAAATCCCGACGCCATTCAGTGCTCGGGAGCCGAGTGGTGCGTTCGCTCGGGAGACGTGGACAAGGGAAGGGAGGCGGGGGGCGCGCCGTTCCCGACGCCATTCGCGACGCCATTCAATGCTCCGCCGACGGCATTCAGTGCTCGGGAGCTTGGGGGGGGGTCGCTCTGCAAGGGAGCGGGGGGGGCCATACCCGACGCCATTCCCGACGCCAGTCAGTGTTCGGGAGCCGTGGGCTTGAGCGCTCTGCGGGGGGCCGGGAGAGGGGGGGGGGGCGCAATTCCCGACGCCATTCAGTGCTCGGCAACGGGAAGGGCGTTTCTCTGCAGGGGAGAGGAGGGGGCTCGCCATTCCCAACGCCACTCCGCGCTGAAGAACGGGAGGGGAAGGGGGGGTCGCTCTGCAGAAGGAAGGGGGAGGGGGGGACGCCATTCTCGCCGCCATGCGCTGCAGGGCAGAGGCTCCGAAACGCCCAAAACAAGCCCGCAAGATAATCCAGAACGCCCTCAAGAGGCCCGAGTCAAGGCCCAAGAAGTCCCAACGCGAGCCCCAAGACGCTTCCCAAGGTCCCTTGCTGAATCCCTGAGCCTCAGTCCTCAAGCCAATGGATCCTTCATGGGATCGGGCCCAAAACTTTCAAATCTCTCGGGCCTCTCCGCGCGCCATCTGGGGCCCCCCGGAACACCCCCACATAACTTTGCCCAGCCGGCCCAAGACGGGCCAACAGGGCCCGAAGTGGCCTTCAGAACAACGCACAATGACTGAAAGATCGGTCCGAGACGCCCAAGATAACCCGAGTACGGCTCGAGAAATGTTCGACTCCCCACGAACCCCACGACCTCCCCAAGAAAGCCCCGATAGGCATGATTCCTTCACGTTTCTTAACTGTTCAGTGTGTGTGTGTGTGCGTGTGTGCGTGTGCGTGCGTGCGTGCGTGCGTGCGTGTGTGCGCGCGCGCACGTGCGTGCGTGTCTGTCTGTCTGTCTGTCTGTCTGTCTGTCTGTCTGTCTGTCTGTCTGTCTGTCTGTCTGTCTGTCGGTCTGTCTGTCTGTCTGTCTCTGTCTGTCTGTCTGTCTGTCTGTCTGTCTGTCTGTCTGTCTGTCTGTGCGTGCGTGCGTGCGTGCGTGCGTGCGTGCAGGCGTGCGTGCGTGCGTGCGTGCGTGCGTGCGTGCGTGCGCGCGTGCGCGCGTGCGCGCGTGCGCGCGTGCGCGCGTGCGTGCGTGCGTGCGCGTGCGTGCGTGCGTGCGTGCGTGCGCGTGCGTGCGTAACCGTGGGTGGTGGGTGTGGGTGTGGGTGTGGGTGTGGGTGTGGGTGTGGGTGTGGGTGTGGGTGTGGGTGTGGGTGTGGGTGTGGGTGTGGGTGTGGGTGTGGGTGTGGGTGTGTGTGTGGAGGGGGGTAAGGGGTTCTTTCCTTTCACGCTCCCGACGTTCTCTGCTCTCACTTTGACGTCCTCCCGTCCGCATCACTCGTCGACGGCAACAGCCGCAGCGACAGCGACAATTACGATGGTAACGCAGCACAGGATCACACGGACCAGTGACCACGCTGCGGACGGCAAGAGAGCTTCGAATGCGTGAAGGAGGCCCGGCGAAGAAACAATCAACAAGGTTGGGAGAGAAAAGACGATGGGTGGATCAGGCAACAGGGCATGGAAGACTCCTGACACCCAGCGGCTCGATTTCGGAACGTGGGCCACCAGACCTTTTGACCGCTTCCCCAGGGTCGTCATCACCAGCTTCATGCTTCTCACCATGGCCATTACCATGATAAACATCATCATACCCATGACATTCATCAATCTTATTATGAACATCGCCATCACCATCATCATCATCATCATCATCATCATCATCATCATCATCATCATCATCATCAGCATCAGCATCATCATCATCATCATCATCATCATCATCATCATCATCATCATCATCCTCATCCTCATAATCATCCTCATCCTCATCCGTATCATCATCCCCCTCCTCCTCCTCCTCATCATCACCATCACCATCACCATCATCATCATCATCATCATCATCATCATCATCATCATCCTCATCATCATCATCATCATCATCATCAATCATCAGTATCAGCATCAGCATCAGCATCAGTATCACCGTCAGCATCACCATCATCATCATCATCATCATCAGCAGCATCAGCATCATCAGCATCAGCAACATCATCATCATCATCAACATCGTCATGATCATCATCATCATCATCATCATCATCGCCATCATCATCATCATCATCATCATCATCATCATCATCATCATCATCATCATCATCATCATCATCATCATCATCATCATCATCATCATCATCGGGAGCGCCCCGGATCGGCGGCTCTGGCTGGTGGCCAGCACAACAAACAAACCACTCACAAAAAACCGAGGTCGGAGCTCGAACCATTTAGATCGCTTCGGGCTCATTCGCACAGACCTCTCACACGACACGGGGTGCAGGAGGACAGGAGTCTGATCAACGCACAAGTCCACGGCAATCTGAAAGTCGCGACTACGGCGGGAAGATATCTCGTACGAGACATCCCCCGCAAATGATAGAGAACCAGAGAGCCACATAACCATACACTTCAGGACGCTCGCGAACGGCCTCTGAGACGCCATCACCTCTCCGCGACCCTGGGCGACCACTTTCCCCCCCCCCAGACACGCCTGGTTGTGGGGAGGGTCCGGCGCTGACAAAGTGTCCGCGGACGTCAAGAAGTCAATGCTCTGGATCTAAGCCAACTGTACGGATGCTCTCCAATACCCCATGCCAGTCAGGCCTGTTGCTGCCCTCCGACACAAATAACACTCATACTCATGAGGTGTGGTCTTCTGGAGATGCGTGGGCGTCAAAAACAACACCTCCAACTCCACTGAAATCTCCACAGAGGATATTAGCCAGCCCATCGGGCCAAAGGCGTGCTAAAATCTCTGGTTTGTGCCCTGTTGTTTGTGCTCCTGTCGCGCATGGAGCCAGGCCTCCAAGATGGCTCGAAGACAGCTTAAGAAGGAAAACAATTTGCATCTCGGACACTCAACCCCAAAACGACCCCAGGGACCGCCAGCAAGACCCCCAGAGACCACCAGGAGACCTCAAAAAGAACCCTCCAAGAGGCCCCATGAGGCTCCAAAGAAACTTCCCTAGGGGCTCCCAAGACGGCCCCAAGACAGGACACAAAGAGGGCCTCCCAGAGGCCTCCGAAAGGCATCCCTACAGAACCTCACATGCATCCAGGAGGACTCTGGCCCACAACCCAAGCACAGTGGTGGGATGGACCGAAGGCGCCAGGATTCCGGCCCACGATGATGCGCAATGAGCTGGCGGAATGAGCGCAGCGCTCGTAAGTAAAGTTAAGGGTTGTCCTCTTCGAGCGACCTGCCCTTCCTCCAGCGTGGCGATTGATTTACCATCGGCAGCGCTAAATGGTGCTCTCTTTGCTTGATGTGCTCCGCCGCTCAGCCCCCAGCCGACTTGTAAAATTCCAATACGTAACATAGTCCACTGCACCTGCACCCGGGCGAAATCCGTGGCCAACGTCCCACCATCACTGTTACCACCCACCTAATAGATAGTGTAAACGCATCAGACCATGGGAATGCAATTGCTTGACCGATGCTGCCATTCTGCGGGAACTTCAACCACCGTGGTGTTAACATAATGCTGTTACACCACCCTTCATGAGGATGGTCCACACATTACAACCATACAGAACCGAACTCAAACTTCTGATGGTGGGCCACAACTCTCTGGCTAAACAGGCCCATGTGTGTTAGATGTAAGATCCTGTAATGGGGGAAACTCAGGTCGGAGTGCCAAGCAAATGGCAAGAGCAATACAAGATGGGCCAAAATAATGTGAAACGATCCGCCGCCACACAATGTAATTACGGCGTGTGAGATTCCCGCATCATGGTCTGCAAAGATTGTGTGTGTTCACTTATCCGACCTAGGTACTTCTTCTACACACTCCTTCCCTAGAACCCTAGAAACCCTTCCTGGAATCCTCTACGCGGCCTGCTCATTCCGCAGGACCCAGAACGTGCGCTGTCCGCCACGTTGCCTCCAAATCAAACACGTTTTCGCACGGGAGACTTCCAATTGTCTCTGGACGCCGTCCAAGAAATCTCTGGAGCCCCCCTGAGCTGTCTTGCAAGCATAGTGGGGCCCTCTTAGGCTGATTTGGCCCGTTCTAGGGACCCTCTCGGGCCGCTCGAAAGCTTCTGAAGCCCTTTTCTAATCGTGTTGAGCCGAAAACTCGATGAAGCGAAACAAACATGCGAGAAACACA